AAAAAAAAAAAAAAAAAAAAAATAGAGCCCTGGCCAATGTAGCTCAGTGCTTAGACCATAGGCCCACACACTGAAGGGTCTCTGGTTCAATTCCTGGTCAGGGGCACGTACCTGAGTTGCAGGTTCAATCTACAGCCCTGGTCAGGGCGCATGCGGGAGGCAACCAATCAATGTGTCTCTTTTACATTGATGTTTTTCTCTCTCCCCCATCCCTCCCTCCCACACTCTCTAAAAAAAAAAAAAAAAATCAGTGGAAAAAAATATCCTCGGGTGAGAATTAAAATATAATTTAAAAAATAAAATATAAGTGCTTCACTCAATGTCTGGCTAGTAGGAAGTGTGTGTTTCTCACCCACCTACCCCTCTGTGAGTTTTTCAAATTCCCTGGTTTCCCACTAAAGACCCTGATGTAGTGGCCAAAAGCCCAATTATTAAGGGGAAAAAGGCTTTGGTCTAATCAGAAAGATGACTGCATTGCATATCTTGCAACAAATTCTCCTGGTTCAAGAAACTAGATTTTTAGGAAAAAACTACACACTGGATAAAAGAAGTGGATATGAAGGATTACAGGAAGCAGGAAAAGGTGAGAAAGCAGGGGCCTCCATCAGTCAGCCTCTCCACCCGCCAGAATGGGCACCAAATCTGGACTGGTTGCTGCAGTCGTTGCTGGTTGCTGCCGATTGCTTATTAATCAGTTGGGTTGTAGTGAAGCTTCTCTGTTCCTGACACTCTACCCAGTGTCTTGTCATCCTAGAGATCACCCCCATCCAAGACTTAGGATGGATGACACTCCTATTACCCCCAAGAACAGAAGATGCGGAGAACATGGACAGCCTGCCCCACCTGGAACCAAGAAGGGAGTAACTGATAGCAACCGGAGTGGCCCAGCGGGCCAGCATCAGTAGAAGAACATGTACCATAAACACTCAGTAAATTCTGGCAATCATAACAATTATCATAATAAGGCAAGAAAGGCAGCATGGTGGAAAGGGGAGAAAAATGGTTTTCTAAATTCTAGTTCTATCAGTTAACTAGCTATATAACTTTATTATTTTTACTTACCTAAGATGTGGCTTCCTTTTTGGTAAAGTGGGTGTTATAATAATTATTTTACTAATTTTTTAAAGATTTCATGACATACTATACTAAGGTAACTTGCTCTGCTTTTCTCCATTTTCCCCCTGTCTAGAAAAAGAGAATGGTAATTCATATAGAGACTGGGCTGAAGTTTATTTGACCCCTTAACTCCTGCAAAACGGCATTTCTCTCTACAGCCCATATCATCAGTACCACTCACTGGCACTTATCACATCAATACCAACCAACTTTTTTAAGTATCAGAAGGTAAATTTGTTGCTAAAATAAGATGTGCATAATAATCAGAAAATCAATGGAGGAACATGGCAAGGCTGTTCCTTTTTTAAAAAATCCTCATTCAAGGATATGTTTTTATCGATTTTAGAGAGAGAAGAAAGGGAAGAGAGAGAGAGAAACATCCATTGGTTGCCTCCCATACAAGCCCTGATCAGGGATCAAGCCCAAAACCTAGGTATGTGCCCTGACCTGGAATTGAACCTGCAACCCCATGGTGTATGGGATGACCCTCTAACCAGCTGAGCCACCTGGCCAAGGCAAGGATGTTTTGTTTAACCACTGCTTTTCAACATTGTACTAGAAGTCCTAGCTAGTGCAACAGGAAAGAAAAGGGAATAAAAGTTATTCAGATTGGGTAGGAAGAATTAAATTGCCCATGTTTGCAGATGTGATGATTGACTATGTACAAAATATGAAAGAACAGAAAAAAAAAACCTCTTTATACTAATTAGCAATTATAGTAGGGTTAAAGGACACAAAGCTAATATACAAAAGTAAATTGCTTGTTTTTATATAGCAACAATGAACAAGTGAAAATTGAAATTAAAAGCACAACAGCATTTACATTATCACCCAAAAAATAAAGTACCTGCCTATAAATCTAACAAAATTTGTACAAGATCTATATGAGGAAAACTATAAAACTCTGATGAAAGAAATCAAAGAACTAAATAAATGGAGAGATATTCCATGTTTATGGATAGGAAGATTCAATATTGTCAATATGTCAGTTCTTCCCAACTTGACCTATAGAATCAACGCAATCCCAATAAAAATTCCAACAAGTTATATTGTGGATGTCAATAAACTGATTCCAAAGTTTATATGGAGAAGCAGAAGGCCCAGAATAAGCAACACAATATTGAAGAACAAAGTTGGAGGGTGAACACTACCTGACTTCAAGACTTACTATAAAGCTGTGGTAATCAAGACGGCATGGTATTGGTAAAAGAAGAGACAGATAGATCAGTGGAACACTCCATATACAAAAATTCATTTTATTACATATCTAAATATTTAGACACTAGACCTATACATTGTAGATATAAACATAAAAGTTAAAACTATTACGCTTATATAAGAAAATAAAGGCAAGTAGCTTTGCAAGCTAGCTATAGGCAGAGAGTTCCTAGAGAGGACTCGAAAAACACTAACTATAAAAGAAAAGTAAATTAAAAACTTCTACTCATCCTAAGACACTAAGAAAATGGAAAAAATAAATGATAGAGATAGACTTGGAGAAAACATTTGCAACATACATATCTGATAAAAAGACTTGTGTCCACATTATATAAAGAACTAAAAATCAATAAAAAGGGCAAATAACCCAATAAATAAAGGGGCAAACAGTTGAAGGATCACTTCTCCAAAGAAGATATATGATTATCAATAAGCACTTGAAAGAGTGCTCAACATCAGAAGACATAAAGAAAAAGCAAGTTGGAAACCACCATGAAATAGTCCATTAGAAGGGGTAAAATGGATAAAAGAGTGACACTACCAAATGCTGGAGAACTCTCTGCAGCTGGAACTCTCTTACATTACTGATAGGAGTGTAAAATAATACCATTACTTTGGAAAACTGAAAGTTTTAAAAATGAAGTTAAATATATATCTATGCTACATCTAGCCACTCCACTCCTAGGTATTTGTCTAGTAGGAATGAAAGCATATGAGTAGCTTTCAATAACCTCAAAAACATCATACTGAACTAAAGAAGATAGACACAAAATACTATAGACTGTTTGATTCCATTTATATGATGTTCAAGAAAAGACAAAACTAGTATACAAAAAGAAATCAGGTTGCTTGTGGTGGTTGGGGAGTGACTGGAAGTGAGGTAACAGAGATGTTATTTGCCAAATTCATCACATTGTACACTTTAGATCTGTGCATTTCACTATCCATAATTTTACCTCAAAAAACCATGAAGAAGTATACTTAGCAGCTCTTGCAATTATTAATTACCGCAAATAATCAAGTATTGACCAACCTCAGATGCATTTGGAATCTGGTAACTCAACCACAAACCAAGAAAATTTATAAACACATAAATTTGAAAAAAGGCAGACAAATGTCCTTAAAAACTCTTTAATTGCATAATAGCATGCTTTTCTAAATAAGGCCATGGAAATTTCCAGAGTCATCATGAATTCATCCGAGTAGCTGAGGAGGTCATGTGAGGACAAGGAGTTCCAGAACTTTTCACCCCCACAGACTTTCCTTTTATCTAAATATTTAGATACATACAAAATATTTAGGCACTAGATCTATACATTAAAAGAATCTTTCCTGGAATTTAGGAACAGTGAAACTTCCCTGGTTTATACTTAAGAACCAGCAATAAGCTTGGTTATAATTCTTTTCCCTGAAACACCTTGCCAAGGATGTTCCAAATACCACCTGAAGAAAGTGGGAGTTAGGAGAGTGCATGGGAAAGGTAGCCCTGGAGGTTTGTTTCTTTTTACTCTAATAGGAATAAATCTGGAATCTTTTTTGGCGTTTCTCAGGATGGTGTCATGAAAGAAACAGCAGTACAACACCTAAAATAAAGAAGAATTGAAAGTACTTCGTCTGTTCTGAACTCTTGCAGAGCAATAACAAAGGAGAATTCCATTTACACGACTTAGCAAAATGTCTTTAAACCCTCTTTCCTTATATTATCCCTTGAAAATTTCTCCCCACACAGCATGGCAGCTTTGCTTATTCTCTACTTTTACTCACTAAAAACTCTGAAAGTTCTTTCTTGAAATTCAGCTAACGGGGAGGGGCTTTTCTCTGCCTTTACTCTTGTACCTATCTTTCTCATTCCTACCAGAGGCTCTGACTAGAAGAAATTGTTCTGTGTTCTCAG